ATTATCTGACGCATGCAGATACACACAAGGAACCTGTAAACTTAAAAAATACTGAATTACAAAAAACATGACATGACATGACAAGAAACAAACATGTTTCATTGATATATATACAAAAATGAATATTAGGAACTGTATTTATCAAACATTATACTGGGCAAATAAAAATTGTTCACATGCCACAAGTCACATGCCCTTTGGGCAAGTGGTAAAAATCCTTAACGTCAACCCCTGAAATAAATATTTATATCCTGTTAAGCACTTCTGGATAGATGCAAACTAAATTTCGTTGGTTTGTACTTGTGACTGTGTAATGACAATAAAGTGGAACTCTATTCTAAAATACCCATGATAAGATTTTGTTCCATCAAGCAGCACAACATAAGACATAACTCCACTTCACTTTTAGGTCAAAGATCATGAGTCCTGTATTCAGAGGACAGGGGTTATTTCATACTTATTGTGACGTTATCATCTAAGCAGGACTTTGTGAAACACTAATTCCTATTTTCCAACAAAATCCTGTTAAAAATATAATAACGCAGCTACTTGTGATCTTTTAGAAGGGCTTCTTTTTCCCTGAGAGGGAGGGCTATTGATCAGACAACGTCAGCATCAATAAATCAAAGTCCAGAGAAAATGTCTCCCCAGTAGATTTAGACTTTAAACTTGCAGAAAGTTGTTAAACTCTTAATTCTAAAATCTGTACATCAAATCCTGATGCGGATGCTTCATTTGAGTCACTAGATTCCCAATGCAAAGGTCAATGCAACACCCCCAGTGCAGCTGCCCTGTGGTTCACAAACAAGACTGCATTTGTTCCAACCAGTATCTCCAAAGTTTTAAGTAAACAAGTCACATATTCTGCTCAGAATAGTGGATGTAGCTCAAAGTTCCTGATTCACATAAACCAGACACTGTTGCTGAGGCAGGGGAAGGAAACCAGAACAGATATCCATCAAGATAATCCTAATCCTAATTACACTCTGGCTAGATCTTTGATGATAAGCAAACATTCACCCCACATTGATGCTCTAGAATAGAATAGAATAATAATGTCATTGTTAGGTGAGGATATACTGTAAGTGTATCTCCACAAAGTGGTGGGCAAATAAAAACTCCCAAAGATAATCATATTAAAGAAAAACAACAGTTACTATAGAAAAAGATTAAAAACTCTACAGTTACTACATAAATAGATCCTGAAATACAAAAAAATCTATATATTTGTCTCAACTGCTCTTTTGAAATTTGTGTAAATATAAAAACCATGATTGCAAAATAATTGCTTTTTAAAACAGGCCGTGATGCTTGGATAACTTCTGTCTTTTTATCCTTAATTTCTGTTTTAACTTTGTTTCATCTGAACAGCATTTTCTGCTTTCTTACACATACGAGGATGTTTCACAAGATTAGAATCTACACCACATGTGTAACCCAAAGTTTAAAAGGAGTGGATCATATGAGACAGAGAAAGGTGTTCTCTTACCTGCTAGAGGTGAGCCAGCTGAGATCACTGATGCCAACACGGTTATCCCAAGAAAGAGGACACACTGGCCATGCATAAAAGCCTGGAGCTTCACCGCTAAACCCACAGCGGAGTGTAAACCTGCCATGATGGCGGGGTAGAGCTTTCAGGGCATTTCATCCGGATAAGACGTAAAAAGTCATGGCACAGACCGAGATAAACCAAGGCTTGGGTTACTGCTTTTCTTTTGTTAGGATGATCTTCCATGCAGAAAGGCTGCAAGAAAAAAAATAAAGATTGATGCTAAACACAAAGCCTCATTGTTAAACTTTACTTCTCATTACTAACATATGACACCTTGCAAAAGCAATCATGTCCTGTGAATATTTTCATATTTTCTCACATTAAAACCACCAATATCACAGTGTTTTATTAGTTTATGTCCAGAATCAACACAAAACAGTAAATAATGAAACGTCAAATGTGCAGTAAAAAATTTTAAATCTGAAAAATAAAATCTGTTTTTTAACTGGAGTATTGCATTTTATCTAGGTAAATATAAGTATAAATGGAGCTGTTCTGTGAAGACCTAAAAGGTTTGGTAGTGAGGAAATAAACATCAGAAAAACCAAGGAACTGACTGAAATGTTTTATCATTATCTCCCCTTTATCTCCTCTTTCTTTCATCTTTTCTCCTTTTTTTCTGTTTTTCCTTTCCTGTACATTACTTTTCCTTTACTGACATTGCAGTGTCCAAATAATCTGTAAAACTCCCTGTATAATTATAATAAAGCAATGTATATGCATAAAACAAGCGGAACACTATGGCGATAGCCGTACTGCTCCACTTGTGGAAGTAAAATCTGTTGGGTTTTTTTTTGGCATCAAGACAATTATTCTTATTGCCACATTACCAGACAGGACATTGTAAAAAAACCAAAACAAAAAAAAAACCAAGGAACACAGCAGGCAGGTCGACATCTCCCAGAGCTTTGTTCAATCTACCATTTAAACATGGAGAAAGAATGGACCAACTGCAGACCTGCAGGAACATGGATGTCCAAAGAGCATTAATCAGAGAAACCAGATGGCCAATCATGTCTCTGGAGAGAGATGCAGATCCAGAATTTGTTAACAGAACAACCGCTTGCTGTCGGATCCACGTTAGGGCTGAAAGGGTTGATCATATTAATGGTGAAAATTGATTTTTTAAAAATTCATCTCACTATAAAGTAGTTCAATTGTTGCCTAGATTAATAGTCCAAAGAATCTTAAATGGGTCCTTTACTGAAAGAATTACCTATTTACAGCAGCAATTAAGAAAAACTCCAGTAAAAGTATAATATATTCCGTTGAGGATGAAAAATGTTTGCATCATAAATATATCAATACATGTATATGTCTATTTATTCTATACTTTTTTATGGTTTTGCCATTTCCAATTCATATAAAATACTAAAAAAAGCTTTTTTTATACAATGCAAATTTTTATTTATTTAGAAATTTTTATTTACTGAAAACATTTGTTTTCAGAATAACTGATTATTTAAAAAAGTAATCAATAGATTAATCTATCACTAAAAGAATTGACAGGAGCAGCCCTAATCCACATATGTGGCCCATAAGGACGACCAGCCAAGACCACCAAGAAAGGACCCTTTGCTTAATGTGATATGTGGAAAAAAATATCTTCAAATTACCCTGAACACACCATTCCCTCCATTAAACATAGTGGAGGTGGCATTATGCTGTGGGGTATGACTTTTGTCAATATAGGAATAGGAACGGAGCTAAATCCATGGAAATTATGGATTAAAACTTGTCAGAGGCTTTGAAATGCTTGAGACTGAGGCAGAGGTTCACAATCCAGCAGGACAACAACCCCAAACACGAGTAATCCCTGACTGCAGATTGCCTCACCAACCAAATTACACCATAGAAGAAGAATGTATGCCAGAGAAGATTAAGGAGAATAAAAGTAAACGGTGCTCCTTTTTGTCTGAATGAGCTAGTTTGCAATTTTAGTAGCAGACGAGGATGAAAGTAACTTTTATGCTATGCTCTCTGTTCTAATGCCAATTGAATGAAATGACTGAGAAAATCTGTGTTAATTTGCTGTACGTTGATGAAACGACAACATCTAAAATCACGACTAGATATTTAACATTTCAAATTCAACCTAAATATAAGAATTACATTTTAAAGGAAAAATAACATACACCTCAAAGAACTCTATATGGGAAAAACTGATAAAACTTCTCTAGCTTCGTGTATTTTGTTGTACATCTTTTTATCTGCATTGATGTTTGTTCTAATTGTTTTTTTTGTCAGCATTTGTGTTTTAGTACTGCCTGTCTAGCGAGCCAAAGACAATTTTCTACCTTGGTGGACTATAAAGATTCTATTCTATTCTATTATCTTTGATTTATATGATTGCAGTGTCACACATCTAGAAAAAACTAAACATTTTTTTATGAGTTTATAGTAATTCCAAATGTATATAAATTGATACCAATTTAAGTTAATAACTTAATTATAAATCCTTAGATGTAGATTTTTTTTGTCATTTCAACATACCCAGTTCAGCTTATTACTTAAAATAAATTATTTTTATCATGGTCAATAAGAAGATTATTGTGACAAAATACTACACACATAAATGTAGATTTTTCCCTCTCTCAAAAATGAGTTATGCTTGTTCAAGTGGTGACTACGAAAACAGCGCAAAAACAAAATAAAGAATTAACAAGATATTCAAAGATTTTCGGTTATCAACCCATCAACCGTTTCGGACGGTTTCTTCCCCTTATGATGTCATAAAGGGCATTATGTTCAGAGCATTTTGAGCACATATTAGTTATCAGCTGGAGAAAGTCAGTGAGAGAGAAAGGTTTTTTCTTTATTTGCTAAGCACATATGCAGGCTTCGGGACACATATGACTGTTACAAAATGTTTATTAAGTGAGTTATGCATAATATGGGAGCTTTAAAGCTGGGGGGTAAAAATTCGTTTCACTTCAAAATAATGCATTTTACCTCATGTAGCTCAATATACCATGGATAATAATTTCTCCCCCAAATGCATACACTTTTTTCCAAAAGCTTGTAGATAATTATTTCTAGAATGTGTTTCTTTAGCATGGTTGGGACCGAGCAGACCTGTCTGTGCAGCTCTAGCTCTGTCATCCTGATACACTTCAGTCTCCTGTCCTACATCCCGTCCCGTTACTCTGAGCTTAGCGATCATGTGCTTCTTAATAAAGCTTCACAAAGCTAATATCCTCAAATTCCCCAGTAGAAGCTCAAGTTTTGGATAGCTACACTCTCTAAAGCTGGCTCCAAACCCACGGGTAAAACAATTGTCCTCCACCTCTCCCAGAGCTGACTGTCCTCTCAGCCAGCTCATAGCTGCGCACATACACTTACCCATCAAAAGCGAGCTCCGACTCAGCCAGTTTGTATTAGAGTGAGGAGAAAATATCCATAAAACGAGTAAAATCTTCTTTAAAGCTTTATCCCTAACGCTTTACGTGGACATTCTTTGTCCTAAAGTTATTTTCGGGTGCGCGTGCGGCTGTAGACTGATAGCTCCTTGTGATGTGAGATAGTTCAGTTACCAGTTACCCTCACTCGTCCTAATTGACTTAACCCCGCCCTCTGCCAGCTCTGATTGGTCTTTCATTTATCAAGACTAATTCTGATAGGCTAATAGTCATATCCGTCAGATTTTGCTTTTGATATTAGGTTGGTCCTCTCTTACTGGCGTCTGCGGCTTCCACGGCAACGTTACTTCATGCAATGATGCACAATGAGGGGGGCACATCTTCGTGTCAGCCTTTATCTGCTAAATAGGATTACCCTCCTTTTGAACCATGTAACTTTTCACCCATTTCCCGTATTTCTTTATTACTTAATGTAACGTAATGTAAGCGTTCATATTTAACTTTTTGGTCCAATTCCAATTTGGAGCCCCATTAAAATGCAACACCCGTTTTAAGGAGGGAAATATCTACATTTATGGTTTATTTTTCTGCTTGTTTTGTCAAAATAAGAAAACATTCCATTCAACAGTTTAATAGCAAAATCCAAAGATCGGTCTTCTAATCAAGAATCCTGAACTTCTTTTGAGATATTTAACATAACCCGTTTACGTCATAGCCCTTTTTTTTCATTTCGGTGCACACTGACACCTAGTGGTGACACAGAGGTCCTACTACTCATGTGTAATTGAGGTTTTCAATGTCTAAACATCCCCAATTAAAATATTTTCGAGGCTTTTGTTATCTGGGGAACATGTGACTTTAATAAATAATTTTGAAATCTGCTCATTTTAAGTAATAAAAACAAAAAGTATGATTTGACTCATTAGAGCCTACAGTCTTCTTGGGGCCACACCTGTAGAAGATCTAATTACGGTAAGATATAATTGAGTTTACCCATTTAATTGGAACTCTCCTGTGATTTGCACAATTTAATCATTTCTACAAATCCATAACTTGCAGAGAGGTTTCAAATAGTCTCATTATGAACATGTATATGTCTGGCAAAGGGTACCATGAAGAGTCGATACACTGCCCAACAAATATCAACTGTCAGAAAAGTACTATTTTATAAACACATTTTCTTGCAGCATTGTCTTGTTCTCAGGTTCATTAATCTTTTCCACTCCACTGAGGAGTTTGATCCCCAATTATGTTGCAGCCACAACTATGTTTCACCGCTGGGATGGTGTTTTTGTAGATATGTGCTGGGTGTAATCCCTTTGATTTAGCAAAGTTCCTGATTTCTAAATCCAGCCCTTTGCCTTAATATCATGGTAATAGGTAATATGCATGCTTTTATAGTCCTAGTCCAAAGAATACAACCACACACACACAGCATGGGACAAAAAGGAGACAGTTGCCGTGACTTAAGTTTAATGTAAATCCAAGACAAAGTGTGATTACATTTCTACACATATACAATATGCATATGTGAGCTTACAAATTCTCATTATTAACTCGATTCACCTCTGAGACCGAAAAAATGATCAAAAGTAACAGTGAATAACAAGCTAGAACAAGGTTTCCACAATGTGAGCCCCTTTCTCATCCTAAAGTTAGTAAGGACAATTAAAAGAACTATTCTTTTAAATCTGATGAAGCCATTGGTCTAATAAAACCCTCCTGCAAAATTTACAATTGTGTCATTAGTTTTTCAAAGCCTAATATAAATTCACTCAATTTTTCTACAACGAAAATGATTAAGAGAAGCACACAATATCCTAATGGAAAAACACAAGCGCTTAGTAGCAGGTACTCAACGTGTTAGGAGGTTTAAATAATCCTTTTTTTTTTCTTATTGTCAATATTATATTTATTTTAAAACATTCTATAAAGCCAGTAAAATATCCATTCTCATAACATACTTGATAATATTAGGTTAAGGAACAGGGTATACAGAAAACGCTACGATAACAGATTGAAATGAGACATCACTCCCCAATAAACAAAACTACTGTAAATAAGAAAAGACCATCAACAGAGATGTATACTAGGAAATACTGCAGCACACTTTAGCTTCATAGCAAAGAATTAAATATCACAACATTGATAAACCATACAGCAAAAGACACAAAACGGGGGTCAGGGTTTGATGCGCTCTTATAGTCGGTCCTCTAGATGAAAAGCAAACATTGATGTAATGTTTTTGATGGGATATTTAGAGGACTCCAATTTAGGGGATTTAACACAATCTCCAGTAAAAAAAGCACCAATCAATAAACCAGAGATCATAATCCAGCTCTGACTGATGGTCCGCTGGTCTAATACCGGGGGAAAAAATCCTTAAATGTGTCAAAACCTGTAACATTTTCAGTCTACAGACACATCAACTAAATGCAGTACTTTACCAAACTTTTTTAGAGACAAAAGAAAAATCCAACAAAGGGTTAGGAACATAGGCTTTGATGCATAGAAGAGAATAATCTTTTTCAGTTGGAATCAAATCCACACTACTTTCATCAAAAACATGACACATGTTCTCTCTTTAATGCATAACAGTTCCAAGAAAACAAAAGTGGACTTAGCCGGTTAGATTATAAAGCAAAAAAAAAAAAAGAAAATAATTGCCCTGATTGATTTTAAATAAACGCAAAATCACCAAGGTGGAAAGATGGTATTAACAATATTTTTGTTACAAAATCAAGAACTAGTTATTTCAAGTAAGTAATTTATTTCCGTAGTGGGCTTTATAAAGAATGTTTATGACTGGAGGTGATATAATCTAATTTAAATCTGTTTTTCTGTAGCAAAGGCAGAACACCAACAGTCAGTGAAGGCATCAAACCAAGACCGCCCAACCCTGAATTCCAAAAAGGAATAACCAGCCAAAGGAATAGCTCCTATCAAAAAAACCCAAAAAACTTTAAGAATAAAAACAAAGAAAATCATGTATTTAAAAGGGCTTTAAGAACGTCTGTGGGACTATATTAGGGATTTTTCAGTGACTTCATAAGCACATGGCTCATCTGACTCAACACCTGTCTATACTATCTTCTCTGACATTTGGAAAGCAGCTGTAGCTGCAGTCTCCTACTTCTACAGAACATGTTCTGCAGAAATTCTCTGTTTAACAAGCTGCAATTCTCCTGGAAGGACGTTGTGTCGGGACGACCAATGCAGCTCTGTGTGTCATGCCCTAAGGAATGTTAGCCAGTGTTTCCAAAGCTCAGGACGAGGACTTCAAAGAGCAACACCATGAGCAGAACCGGAAGTCTGAGCGCTTTACAAAAGAAAATGACAGGGTCCTAAAGGGAGACATGGACATCCTGCCTTATTTCATTTTCACTAATTGAAACGTCAGTTTTTAAATCTTTGGAGGTTTTGTTGGTCGTTTGGAAGGCAGGAGTTAACATTAAAGTTGCCAACTGGAAAGGCTGCAAACGCCTTATCAACACCCAACATTTTTAAACGCTACTTAAGCACATTTTGGTAATTGTAAGGTCACTAGATCTATGATGATGCTGACCTTTCTGAACTTTTCTTAAAAAAGAGACACAGACAAAGGTATCAATCTGAATTGCACAGTGTGTACATTTCCTTTCATTTTGGAAAAAAAAGATCAGTCATATCCCCTAATTATGAAAAAAGGTCATTATTACTTAATCAGTTGTGGGGTTTTGCTGGAGATCAGATATACTGTTATTGCGCCATGCATGGGTCACAAACTGCGCACAAATGAACAAAAAGATCACCTACAGCTGAAGATGCGGTTGGCTCACATAATATTACATTCATTTGTGCAGGTGACCATGATCTTTAAAGGTATATTTCACACATTTTGGATTATTTATATTCATAGGTCTAGTGTGAGACCTATTTTTTTTAGTTAAAACACAAAAGACTTTTAAGAATAAAGCTCAAACATCATAAAAAGAAAATAACAATCAGGAAGGAGCATGTATGATCTGATTCCATTTGAAAGGCGGCAAAAAATGAGGAAGAGTTCAACATTAAACAGAAACTGTTTTGATACAGAACTGTGAAAAAGTATATTATCCAGTTGTTATATTTTAGAACATCTAAACATCGTAAAGATCAGACAAAGATAGCATAAGTAAATACAGAAACAGGCTTTTTAAATGATGGTTTGAAACATAAAATTAAAAAAAGGATCCCATGCCCGCCTGACCCAATGTGAAAGTATAACTACTAAAGCTACGAAATTTGTTTAGCCACCCTTGCAGATACCAGCTATCTCTAAGGGTTCTTAATATCTGGCATATATATTTGTTTATATTGCTGTTAAGAACTGTTTTACTCCAGCCACACAGGGGATTTTAAGCCTTATTTGCTTGTTTAAGCTCTATCTCCATTGGATTTAAATTCAGACTTTGACTAGACCAATCCAAACAGAGCTGGATTAGCTAGCATGAATTCCCATCCTAGCATAAACCAAGCTTAATGGAACCAATGGTTCCATTATGTCCCACATCATCACACTACCACCTCCGTATTTCTGTCAGTAAAATGCTGCTTATGCACCAGATGTAACAGCATTACGGATCATCAAGATGTAGTTTGCTCAGAAGTCATTTTGAACTGAGAAACCTCCAACTATGGCTAGTTTTACTTTCTTAATGTAATAAAAATTGCTAATCTTGACCATAACTGAGTCAGCTGAGACCAAGCGAGCTTCAGATGTTGTTCAGCCAATGCAATCTCTGAGTGAACAACCTCTCCTGGGACGGTTCCCCACAGTTCCATGTTCTCTCTGTCTGTGGACAGTGACTTTCACTGTGGACCCTAAATGTCTTTGAATGTCTATGTGACCTTGTAAACTGATCTCTGTTCTTGGTTTCTTTAGATTTGGGCAGGATCTGCTCCTGCTGGCAATGACCCCTTTAAGTGATATCTTCATTCTATATGCAAGCAATAACTACGTTGGCGGCTAAGGAGATGAAACAAAAAATGTAGCTGACAACAGTCGATTCATGACATAAAAAAGTTATTTATGTTTCACATAGAAAAGGTTGGTTAGGATAGCTTTATAAAAACCCTCATTTCAAAACAGCCTTCTGTTTTTACTCAGGTTATCTTTGCCAGATAAATGAATATTGTCTCATAATTTGAAAGATCCAAATGTGAAAAAAGAAGATAACCCTCCCAGGGGCAAGGGCTTTATCATAGCACTGTAGCTGAGGGTCAACAGAAAAACATCTGTGCTCTATGCAAGTTAAATCCTCACACACATGCATTTCACAGTGTGAAAACAACACCTCTTGAAAAGTACTTATGAAGCATCTTAACATTGAACCAGAAGTTATTGCCTGGCTTTTCTGGCAACAATGAGGAGGATTGCTTGTTCTGTGCTGTGCATGGTTGATCTTGTTAAAGTCTTTGGTGGGACAAGCAGCAGTCTGTCTCCATGGTGTCGGACGTGGACAGTAGTTGGTAATGTGAAATTCCCTCAAAACAGTGGAATGTTTCAGTAGTTTGATTCATAAATCCTCCAAGTTATGCATGTGTGCTTAGGCCTGGCTGAGCCAGAGGAAATGAAAGAGATGAAACAGAAAATAGAACAGAAACAAATGATGTAACCAGCAATGTACTATGCAATTGCATCTCCGAGTAGAAAGTACCAGTTTGAAAGACAACTCCATGGGGCCTGGGGAAACCTCTGCTGGATTACAAACCGGCACCCGTGGGTTTGAAGAGCACGTTTCTAAAGGGTCCCAGTGAATTATCATCAGCCCACCCAGTTTTTTAATCCTCAGCAGTGTTAAAACGCTTTACACAGGTGCACCCACCTTCACTGAATACTAAATATTACTGTACATCAGGTTACAAACTCAAAATAAGCTCGACATATAATAAAAATACGCACACATTTTGATAAAATATCCACAAGAATTATTGCAACAATCTCTAGAAATAAACACATGTAGCTACTACAGCCATTAAAAAAAAATCAGATAAGTTAATAAGAGAAAACAATAAAATAAAAATCACTTCAAATGCAAGTACTATGGCATACCGAGGAGGAGGGGAGAAGGCTTTGACTAAACCACCAGCAGCTCTGGTCTACCTACGTCCAATAGGACAAATGAACAGGAAGGGTTTACTTGTACTTCTGGCTATGAAGCCATGAAATCAAGCAGCAAACACACACAGCTGTAGCCCTATTAATTCTCTAAGTGCTCCAGTATCCCTCTCAGGTTGGCATGGTGGTTTTTACGGTGTACCTGGATTGAAGACAAATGGACAATGGAGACAAAAACATCTGCAAGGTGCCCTTCCAGGTGTATGCTTGTCCCGTTTCCCTTCGGCGAAAAATTTCCGATTCATCATGAACAGCAGTAAAAGTACAAAAACAAAAGAGTTCATGTGAGATTTTTCAGTGCACGCTCAGGTGAGGCAGCACCCAGCGCGGCTCAGAGTAACAATCAACATGCTCATTGCCAACTTGCAACCATTTTATTCCCTTTTAAGATAGAGTTCTCCCCATTCCTACCTAAACTGACTCCTTACGTCCTCCCTTGCATGGTATCTCTTTCAAACGTCCATCTGTACTCTGTCTTGTTGCTGCAGCCAAGAAATATCTCCAGCCCCACAGAATCAACCTCATGGCAACAATCACTTTCGGTCAAAACTTTCTCTCAAACCAGTTCTTAACCTTGAAAATACAGTCTTATCAACATCATTAAGGGAAATTATTTCCCCAATTAAATTCAAAAAGGGAGATTTATATAGATCTTTTTAACCTGATTTATTTTAACCATTTATTTCTGCTAACTATAATGATCATGGCTAATGAAAACCCACACAGTCGTAGGGAAGATGGCCGACCTGACAGTTTTCCATTAAGACTCTCTTTAAGGGAGATAAGCTTTACAGGTCATTGTTAAAGACATTCGATTTTCACACAGGGTTTTATCCAAGAATATTAATGGAAAATTTAGCAGAAGGAAAACAGACTTGTAGAAAAAGCTTTCCACATTAAGGTGAAATTAGAAATAACTTGCGAATCAATGTCTCTGAGTCTCTATAGGGTGAAGGTACTGGAGCTCAGAATGTAGTTTTGTAATGGAACCAGTAGGTTGCCAGTTTGAGCCCCTGCTCTTTTTGCCTCAGTAGTTGTGTCCTTGAGCCAGGCACTTCACCTGCTTGTCTGACAGAATTTAAGCTAAAATGTTTGGGGTCCTTTGGCTCAATAAATTGTTATATAAGTATTGTCTTGTATTCTAGGAACCAAGGGACTTGGTGATGTTGGTCTGCTGTATTTCAACGTGCCCAAAGTCTGTTTTGGAACAAAGTTTATAGAAATACAAATTGTATTTTTTGATAGGACTTTCTGTCTACACCACAAAGACCTACTTTAATGATTTAATCATCACTGCCCTTGACTGCCCAGAAAACTCACATTTTCTTCTACCACAACAAAGCGTGCTTCAATCAGAGGCCACCAGACATTACAATTCAGATGGTCTCTAATTGAAGCCTGTTTTGTTGTTTCCATGACCCCCATAACAGAGGATTTACACAGGCATTTTTTACCACACTTTTTCCTCCCACTAAATTTTCCATTGTTTGCAATTATACTCTATTAATGCTCAACTTCTGTCCTGGCAATGACCTTTTGCTAACCCTCAATGTGGCCTCTACAGCAACTGTCAGGTAAGATTTATTTATTTTATATATTTTATTTTATAGATTTTGTTGAACACAACAACAAAACAAATCTTAAAAATGCCTTGCTATTGCTTTTATGTAAGAAAATGGTATTAGGGAATAGTATTAGGCCAGAGAGTAAAATGGATAAAATAGAAATCAATTAGTTATAGGAACAATAGTGATAAAAATGGCGTTGACGAGCAATATATTTGGTAATGTCAGGTTTTGATATATATATAACATAAATATCCTTCATAATCATTATTTTTTATTGTTTAGTTTTATTACTCTAGTGGATCTCAAGATTTTAAGCTGATTTGACTGTAAGACTGAACATTGCTGTTTCATTAAATCAAAGCCAGAATCATTATAATTAACAAAAAGAAATTAACTGAACTTTCGTACTTTATGCGTAGTAGATACCAGTAAAATACATGAAACAAATAACATCTCATCAGATTCTAATTTCATGAGACGCACCTTAAAAACTACTGTAACTCAAATGTTATACTGTAACATAAAAAAAAAAAAAAAAAAAAAAAACAACTTTCTGTTCATCTGTTCAATGCGGTGCGATTCCCAGAGAAAAAATAAAACCAAACTAAAGCCACATCCCTGGTGTCATTGTGACAGAGCTTCAGAACTACAGCATTACTCTACGTATATTTAATTCCCAAGAAATTTCCTAAGCAAAATTTAAAAAGAATTAATCTACCACTTTGGTAAGTACTCCAGGCAAGTTATCTCATGCACACAGGATAAAAAAAAAAAAGCTTGTGTGATTTCTGCTTTGACATTAATCTTCTTCATCTACGGCACGCTTTCGTTATGGGCAAGAATCGGCAAGGGCTGAGCCTACACCTGGAAGAAAGCTACAAGTGCCCTGATTAGGATGTCAAACCAGGGGAACGTTTCTCTCTGCGTATAGCTCTAGTCTCTCGTGGCTTTCAGGACCCAAGCCGAGTAAACTGTGTTGGTTAATCTGTAAGGCACTACGAGGGAACGACGATCAACATCTAAAGACTGAGGAGGATCCTGTGGAGATAAACTACACACACACACATGGCTGACAGTAGCAGACACAGACAATCACTTTGTACATGCCTATGTTATTATAACCACTTTGTGCAATCACATTGAAGAGAAAAAAAAGAGAGAAAAACTCTATTGGTATCAAGGGAGTAAAAAAGGAAATAAAAACAGGTGCATACTGCTACATTCTATACACGGGGCCCAGCTAAGACACCTAGATCCAACTGAAGCATCATAAAGGTGGAAAAACCAAAGAAAAAATATCTATAAATACACTAAAAGATTTGTTGTCTTCTGTTGGATAGATTTCCAGGTCCCTCCTCTGCTGGAGAAGGTGGAGTGGGTGGAGTTTCCTCTCTTCGTTTTCTCCCCACACCACAACTGATTTGGAAATACTAAGACAGTTCAAGGCCATCAGTATTGTTTTTTTTTTTCTTTGAAGAGCAGCAGGTTTCCGTATTTCACCTTGTCCCAAATCTTTTGGGTTTTTCAAACTTCCAGTCAATATAACCCCTGTTCATCAGTCACTTCCCACTTATATTAGGCAGGGGGAGGAGGGGGTGGGGGTTGGGAAACAACAAAAATAAAACAGAAAACCCTTTCCTTGAAAAACACCTGCCGAACGTTTCCCCATTAAACTTACGAGATGTCTCTTTTTCCAAGAAGTAAAGCAAAGAGAAGAAAAGGCAAACGAAAGCTAAAAACTGGCCCTTTTCTGGGGGGAAAAATGTCAAAAGAAGAAAAATTGTCGCCATCTTTCCCTCTAATGACGATATTAGTCATGTTTCTTCCTGTTTCAGTCGTTCTTTCTTCAAGTTACCCATGACAGCTTTATAAGGATTGCATGTTCCTCTGTCTCTGTTCATGTCTGAGGTTAAGGAGAGGATGTTGGTGGGATGGAGGATGGAGGAAGCAGCATTGCTGGGTCGGGCCCTCCAGGGTTAGGCCCTTCAGTGTTGGTCCGGCTCGTCTCTAGAGGTAAGGATACTGGTTGACCTTTGTGGGGCTCAGCGGGTATCCAGTGTAGACAGTGGAGGCGGGTGAGGCGCTGATGTAGGCCTGGTGGGCGAACTGGGCCTGGTACTGACTATGGTGCAGGGTGGGTGAGGGAAGTACGCGGTGGCTCACGCTAACAGGGACCTGGTGGACAATGCTGGGAGGGTAGCTCCCGTGCTGCACTGCGTGTCGCGCCGAACTTTGTGATGCCATCAGGTGGGCCACAGTGCTTGTGGAGCCCAGAGCGGTGGGGGCTGTGTAGGTGTAGAGGTGTGGCTGGCTGGGGAGGTGGGTGGCAGCCAGGTGTGGGTGAACATTGCCAGTGTGGGAGGGGCTGTTGTGATGGAAGGAATATGAGGCTTGGGGCGCGATGTTTGGGGTGATGTAAGCCTGCTGCCGGCGGTGTCCGGCGTTCCGTTCAGCCACCATGTGCTGCTGAGCCTGGAATAAAATGGGAACCCAGAGATTTCAGATCGAGTCTCAGGGGTTACAACAATTCTTCTAATGCTCATTTTGTATGCATCTAAATCCCTCCTTACCTGGCTAAGATTAAGGGGCTGCTGCTGAAGTGGGTGTGGCCCTGAGCGCTGCTGTCGGTAGGCCACGCCTCCAGCGGCGCCCCCTGGTAGGTTATTATTGCCCAATGTCACTCCATTGGAGGATTTAAACTTGTAGGCAGTATTCTGATGATTCATTAGATCTGAAATAAATAGTGATAAATGTGTTTACCTGCAAGAAGCCACTTTGATTCTGTTTCTGACTTAGTAATGCAGGAAGCAACCTTACCTGGCATCAGCCGCTCACAATCATTCGACACCTCACTGTTCTGCGTTTTTAGAGGGGGGATGATGATTGTGCGAGGGTTCCCATTGTTGCAGTTATCCAGGATGGTGGTTTTTGTATCGTAGCTGTTGTTGTTAATGTTGTTGTTGTGGGGTCTTGACTCTAGGTTGTAGGGGCTGTTGTGGCTGGAGCAGTCGGATTCTGGAGAATCATGGACTGTCACACAGCTGATAACATTTTTTCTATGTTTAGAAGATGAGCTGCAGAAAAGAAAGAGAAGACAGCCACTAAGAATACAGCTTATCTGGTTAAATGGACATTATTTAGGTCAACAACCTACATCTAATTCAGATTGGTTAAGCTGCTGTTCACAAATACTCTAAACACTAAAAAAACATAATAATGAAAAAACATAACACACTAATCTAAAATAAGCCAAGAAATAAAATGAATAATATCATATGGATCATTTTCACCCAGGCAGTTTGTTCAGACAGAGAACCTACAGAACATGCACAGAAACAGCAGGGGTAACCATATCTATACTGAATTAGTTTTAAAAATATATTTCACAATAAATGGTCATTGTAAACCTTAGAGTAGTAGATTATAGCACTGAAATTAATAATGAATTTATTCAATCATTTTTTTTTTAACTAGCATATGTCTACTGGTACAAATTTTATTGCATTTTAAAAAGAAGGAAAAACAACATCTGATAAGAAAAAAAGGTCATATAAAGGGGAAAAAAAATTAAGTTAATTTAAAAACCCAATGAATTCTTGGATGATTTACAATTGTTTCTTGTTAAATATGCACAAAGAAGCATTATCGCAGATCCTTCCTTCCAGCAGCTGTTAAACTTTATACCCATCACTGCTCTCAAAGAGCTTAATTAAAGTTTTCACATACATGTTTCTATTGTAGTTTTTTTTTAACAAAAATCTCTGCTATAATTTGCACAACTCACCTCTGCTGCTGTGGATTTAACTGTCACTTATTTTTAAATAGCCCTTTTATAGATTTTGTAATAGCTGCTCAGTATTTATATGAACAACTTTGGCTGTTACTGTACAGCATTTTTACTCTTTATTTTGTATTTTATACACTTTTGAGGTTCCATTTTATTGTCAATTATTTAATCTAAAATGCCTTTCACTTTGATGCTGTTGCACAAACATGTCCCCATTGCAAAACAAAAACACATTTCCTTGACTTGTTTTGTATTTTATTCTATTCTATTTTTCCTATTCTATTCATTTTTTCTTAATGTATTCTATTCTCTTATTTTACTATTCTATTCTCTTATTTTACTATTCTATTCAATTTTTTTTTCGATTCTACATTTTCTGATGCAATTTAATGCGGAAGCAAAAATCAGAACCGACCCGTTGTTCTGTTTTTGGTCATCCTCCTCGTCTGAGTCGCTGCTGATGGTAATGATGCTGACGGCAGGGCTGGGCGTGTCGGGGATGATGATGGTCTGTCTGGGGCCATGGTGCTGATGGTCACGAGTGGTGCTGGAAGCCTGCTGTGCTTCGTGAGCCCCCCATCCTCCTCCAGCACATCCCTGCGAAGGCAGGCAGTTGGTCCCCGACCCGTTCTGCAGCACGGCGCAGCGAGGGGGCGTGTTCTCTTTCACCCGCTTCGATCGTTGTGGGGACAGTACCACCTGCGAGGATGATACCTCGTAGGTCGACGTGTTCCTGGGAAAAACAGAGCTGGAGGTGAGAGATAAGGACACTGATGCTGAGGATTCAACAGAAATGACTTCATGATGGGGAGTTTTAAAATCCTTTCTTTTAGAATGAGTACCTGGTCGGCATCTGGTGCTGTTTGGCCTTTTTGGAGGAGGAGCTGTTGTTGGACGATGGCTGCCTCATGACATGTGCCACGCCTACATTGAGGGTCTGGTTCGATGGGAGTGTGACATGACCAGTCAGCAGGGCTGGCTGCTGCATGATGGGATTATAATGGCTTCCATGGGGATGCGAATTCCTGTAAAATAACATATTTTACAAGTGCCCCTCAATTAATTAGAATGTCATTAAAACTCTTCTTTAACAATAGCAAATGATACGTATATTACAAGTGTTGATTTCTGTACATTTTATCAGTGTGATTGGTAGCTAACGAAAACCTAAAATTCCGTTTCCATTCTTAGAAAGTTAACTCATACCAGCATTAAAGGGGTTTTAATAAGTAAATGAACAGCTTACCCATGCATTGAATTGTATTGTACTTGGTCTGGGCTCATTTTACATGAACTAGTGCCTTTTATCTGTGTGACAAGGAGGAGATAAACCTGTGCTTCTGCTGGAGTGTTAAAGAAGCTCCTTTTTAGCTCGTCTGCAGGGTCGGTTCTGGGGACTCTCCTCTTCCTCAGTACAACACATCATGTTTGCTGACATGGCGGATCAAATTACTAACTGTGGATTCTCCAGTCTAGGCCTTAAGAAAATCGGATTTTGGGACCTTTATTTTTAATATAACAAACAAAAATGTACTTTACTCTGAAAAGAGGACTTTGGATCACTATAATATTGTGGTTCTTATCTCCTTAACTTTGCTTAGATGCCACTGGTCTTGTGTTTGGTTTCCAGTTGGTTCAACACAAGGACTTGTTCAGCTGCAGCCCAGGAACTGGATATATATTTGTTTCTAGACTGGAATTATTTTCCCCTGTTGCTTAAGTACAGTTTTCTGCCATACTTTTCCTTCCACTAAACTTTCTTTAATATGACTGTTTATAGCATTAGCTATAAGGAGGATATCAATGACTATCTGTTGGAAGGCCTTTCCTATATTCCTGTTAGCTGCTGCATGGATATAATTTGGATGTAATTTTTATTCTGTTTAAAAAAATATTTTGTACAGAGTACATGTCAGACTTAATAATACTACTTTAGCGATAGTCAATTTTCTTTAGCTGTACACATTAATAATCAGAATTACCTTAATAAATCCATATTAGTTTGGCATTTTTGAGCAGAATTGCTTTAATTAATAAACTGACAAAATGTGAAATAAGCAAGAAATGGCAGAAGAAGCAGCAGAATCAACATAAAACATTGACAGTGTATAAAGTATTTCACAGTAAACACCAGTAGGTGGTAGCAGTTAGCTTTTCTAAAGAGGTCAAAATGAGAGAAGAAAGTGAGGAGGGAGCAAAAGGGAGGGCAGAGGAGCAGACACCAGCAGCTGCGGAGCGATAGCTCTGCAGAGGAAGTGCGACACTTTCTTGATCTTCTCTCAGAGGACCAAAAAAACTGCCACTGGACAGGATGGGAGGGAAACACATGGAGGGGGCTGATGGACAGCCCTGAATTAATCTAAGCATTCATCGCCCCAGCGGCCTTCCATAAATACAGCTATACACCCCCCATCTCCCTGCAGATATCCTGCTTCAATCTATCCTCCTATTCATCAACCTTACTATGACAGCCTGCAGTCTACATGATGTCTGCATGTGCATACGGTGTACCCTCCACCTCTGAGGTCAGTCTGCTATTGCTCCAGCACAGGGTCCCATTTGAAGAAATGAATTTGTTGGAGAGGTAAAGTAAGCTGATGCATAATTTTCCACAACCTTTTTCTAAGGTGTTCAATTTCAAAATATTGTGTTGTGTAGAGAAAATAATTTAAAACATGCAAGAAAACAAGTTTGTACCTCCAGTTGGCGAGAGTCTGCGTGCTGCTCATGGAGTCTGGGATGACGGTGGCATGCTGGACTGAGGTGTGAGTAAGCTGCTGCCACGCTGGAGGCAGCAGGATCTGCTGGGTGCCGCTGGGCCAGGCCTGCTGCAGAGAGAGCACACAGTCGGGCCAAATATATAAAGGTCAGAAAAAGGAGACAGAAACAGAAAAGCTGGCCAAGTAATGTACAGTGTCAGGCAAAAAGTACATGAAATCCATGCAACCCAAAATAGAAATGTATGTTTTTGGGATCTTATGCGATAGACTAAAATAAAACACAAATATTTGGCCTTTATGGAAGAGTGGAACCATCGCAGAAAGAAATTCTTTGAAGTTCTCCTTGCTGTTGGTGCTTGGTCAGGGAATTAAATCGTTAAAACTTTTTAACCTGCATGTAAAACATATGCGAGATGTAAGACAATCCAATCCACTTTATTTATATAGCACATTTAAACAACTAAATGTTTCCAAAGTGCTGCATACGCAAGCAGGTAAGTATAAAACAATAAATCTAAATAAAATTGTTTAAAACAACAAATAGAGTAAAGTTAATACAAGGCCACAGGGGATCACACAACTTTACACAATGCTAAAAGACAGAGAATAAAAGTGAGTCTTAAGACGAGGTTTAAAACACTCCACGGAGGGAGCCATCCGTATACTGAGGGGCAGAGCTTAAGGTCGAAAACTGAGAACGTTCTGTCCCTTCTGGTATTCCGATTTGTCCTAGGAGTCACAAGCTGGAGCTGGCCCTTAGACCTCAAAGCGATCAGGGGACGGTAAATTTGGATGAGGTCTGCAACATACTGAGGTGCCAGTCCATTCAAGGCTTTAAAAAAAAATAAAAAATTTAAATCAATTTTAAACTTAAGAGAGAGCCAGAGCAAAGACGCAAGGATTGGGGTGATGAGTTCAGCTATTTTGGCGCCTGTTAAAAGTCGTGCACCAGCGTTCTGGACTAATTGCAAGTCATCAGACAACTTGAAATAAAGAATGCACGACTTGCTCAAAAATATTAAAAGATAAACACGACTTTACTTTGAAAAACACCATTGATCTGTTTATCCAATTTAAAATTGCTGTCTATGACGACGCCAAAGCTGCTGACTTTGGGACACAAATAATTCTGGAGTGATTCCAATATATAACATACACACCCCCCTAAAATCCCCTCCCTATGTCAAAACACGGTGTGGCAGAATCATGCTATGGGTATCATTCAGCAGAGACAAAATAAAGCTCATCATATTTCAGAAGATAATTGGAGGGAAGTAAAACATTTTAGGAAAAACACTTGCTGGAGGCTCTAGAACCTTAGATAGACAGCTACTGTAGAGCTACAGTTTTGCTCAAAGTGAATTGCCCATTCAAAGTCCACATATTTATGCAATAAGAAATATTTGACCGGAGTTTGAAAGTTTCACAGATGCTCCCTTCCAATCTAATTCTAACCTAATTAAAAAAAAAGAAGAATGGGTCAATCGATGGGAGCTGTCCCATTTGAACAGCAACAGGCAAATAACTTCACCATTTTTTTGTTTTTTTGGCATGATATAAATTATCGTTTCTTTTTGAACAGCATTAAACTCAAACCATTGCAGCTGCTTGGCAAATATCCAAAGACGTTTACCAATTTGGAAGAGACATCCATCAACAGAACAGAGTAAGCCAGAGCCTAATAAAGATACCTCAGCTCCTTCCTTCATATGCTGGTGTACAACCTAGTGAGTGAGAACATGGCAGCTGAGTGTGTGTGATGCCTGCCTGATTATGTGTCTGATTCGTGTCAAATCAACCAGCGCTCTGATTTAATTCCTATTTCTCTTCAGGCCGCTTTGAAAGAGGCTATTTTGAATTTTTGATGCTGAACTAGCTGATGAAACCTGCCTCGAGAAGAGCCATGTGTGCCTGAACACGTCTGTGTGCTGCTCTGTGTGTAGCCCTAACAGTTTAATGCAGCTCTATTGATTAGCACTTTAATGTCAGGGCTAATGAATTGTTCCTTTAATACCGTTTATGCATCTATTTACAACACCATCAGTATGAGCTTCAGCACACCAATATTTAAATAGAGAAAACTGCAAAGGAGCACTTCGAATTCTTTACTATGTAGGGATTTCATTGTAATTTATTATATATGCTTCACATCAACATGTTTTTACTGCCAATGATCGCAGTTAACATAAAATGTTTTTATTTATGAAACAAAAGCATTGATTTAGAACAACCTGGTTCTGTGTGATACAATTGTTGATTTAGTCAAATCAAGAATAACCTGTTACACTCTAAAATTTTTTTTGATCCAAACCCAGAGAATATCACAAAAGAGCCTTTCAGACACCATGAAGTAGGCACCTGTAATTGCACCACAAAATGACTTTGAAAAGCAAAGAACTGCAAGCCTGATGGCAGTGATGGTCTGGGGATTAATAAGGATTGATTTTTGAAGGACCCGTGTATTTCTCCCTCTGCAGTGTTCAGCTACCAGTTTGTGACCTTAAGCTCACTTGAAGCAGCAGGTCAACGATCTGAAGCAAACCCCATCTGAACAGCTCTGAACAGCCAAAATGAAGTCTCATCAAAACCAGGAGTTCAATCTGATCCAGATGATGAGTTTAAACTGTTATGTGGGGAAGAGCAGGCAAATATACCTGCACAGCCATGTAAAGGACTAATTGCCACTTATCACTGTTCTTAGTGGCAGATGTTGCGGCCAAAGGTGGAACGATCAGATATGAGCTATTTACTCTTTTAAACGGGGCTTTGATACAGATTTTGAGATGGTTTCCACCCATACATTAATTTATTTACTCACATCATCTGTCTGATGATATAAAACAACAAGGTTGGGCAAAAACCAAACGCAGAAAGACCTGTAGGCTTTTATGGCCTAGAAAGCATTAATGCATTGTTTTTATCTCCACCTTGATCTTTTCTTTTCTTTCTGCATGTGATTGATTGTTTTCAATGTTTTACTTGCACACATTATAACTGTAACAGTATGTGTGCTAACTGGTGGATATGTGTTTGTCTTTGAGGCGGGCTGCAAAGGGCTTAGGGTCATCTGTGCTTTTATATGACTGCTTTGTCTCAGCTATAATGACTGACATCTCTAATGGAACATTCTGGAGCTAGAGACAGTTTTTACATCTCAGACCACATCCAGGTCCTTTTATCAACATGCCATTAAGAGACTCTTATACGTCCAGCATGTCTCCTGCTCGCTCTATCTCCATTTCTGCCTCTTTGCATGCTTTTCTCCCAATGGGTCTGCGTTGTGTAACCAGCCTGTCTGCCCTGAAATGGTAACCCAGTTGAGAGGTTGTTTTCTTTCTTCTTAGTGCCTACCATCACTATCAGCAGCACTCCACCTCCCACCCCGACCCATACTGCCTGGGTGAAAACCCTTTGTCACCTCGGGGGCTTTCAAAGCCCAAGCTCTCACTCCCCAATTGTTTCCACATTTTCTGCATTCCTGCTCCAGATAAAGGTCCCACTGGTTTTCCTGCCTCCCGGCTCGGAGCCTGTCCCCCCCCCCCGCCAACCTTCGCTGCACCCATTGCTGCACAGCCAGACGCTGGAAACTAACCTTGGCTTGGTCCAAGGTTCAAGGGGAAGAGCAAACAGTGTGTGGATGGAGTCACAGGTGGTGAGAACAGAACCAAGCGGCACGTACAGCGTGGCCATGCCTGCAAGACCTCCCACAGCAGAGGAATAAACACACTCACCACACACCCAGTTATTAGGTGTTCTGTTCGCTGGCCTGTAAAAACCATCTGCTTCAGTTAACTACTGCCTGTCTTTGTTTAACATGTATGCACACAGAAGAGACAAGCAACATCCGCAAGGCACGGAGAAAGAGCACGACTGTCACAAAGTTATTGCAACTTGATATTATTAATTTCTTTGAAAATAGAAAATATTTGGTTTTAATCAGTTGTACACCCAGATCTGAAGATGTTGCGATTTTTGTGGTCCGGGAATGCTTAGATGAAGCATTCCCTGACCTCTGGAGATCCTCCCGGGCCTGTAATTTGGAGCGCCTGACTTGGAAGCAGCCATGGAACTAATCATCGTTTGGTATCTGACAGATTAACCCGCCATAGAAACATATGCATGTGCACACACATGCACATGGAGCTTTGCTCCTTGCATGCTTGCCTACTGGATGATTAACTGGAGATAAGGGAACCATTCAAACTCCCAGGATTCTCACAGATATTTAAAGCCTGCGTGGAAATTTCCATAGGGAGAGAGATCCAGAGTGGCAATGGAAGTTTTCTACACTTGTGTGTGCAAGAGGGTGTGATGCACAGTCACTTTCAGCAACGTGCAGCCAGAGTATATCAGCAGCTAAAACTCTGGCCCCCGATGAGCTTTCAAGACCTTTCTAGTGTGAGGAGCTGCTGCATCTGAAAGCATCAGAGCGTGGCAGCCTGCATTCAGGATAGCTAGGGCCATGGGGGGTTGTAATGCACAGAGAAGTTGGCCTAAATGCACTCAAGAATAAAACAGCAACCGGCAGGGGCAGTGTCCTCAGCATGGAGTGATTTCCATTCCTCATGCACAGATCCTGCTCTTGTGGAAAAAATAAGGAAACTAGAACTGAATTTGTCTGGATGTCATGAAGTTCAAAGTCTGGAGGTATACCTGACCCGCAAAAGTTGTTAACGCTTAAATCTGAAGCAGCTGAGTTTTTTCCTACCTGTGTGAGGAGGCCAGGTTGAATCTGCAGAGGCTGGGCACCGGGGGCCTGCGTCACTATAGGAACAGCATTCTCCATCCTCACAGAGTAACTGGTGTGCTTGGAAGGGGATGCCTGCAAACCTGTGCATATGTCAAAGACATTTGAAAAATTATCATTTTGCATAACAGGGAATCAAAGAATACCTTCCTAACATAAATATACAGTATCCCAAAATTCATGATTACAACTCATAGAGTTCATAAAATTAATCAATAAAATAAAAATAAATAGAAGTGTAATTAAAAAATATGTTAATTTACAAGCAGTGTTTAGAGTGTTAATTCTGATCTTGACACAGTTACCTTTGGGAACTATGACTCAGAGCCAATAAAATTCATTCTCATCAAATATTTACTCTGCGTGAACCTCAAAACTCTTGAAGGTGCGTAGCTCTGCAGTCCTCTGCAGGCTGCGGTCATCTGTGTTTCTTCTGAAACCTTTTTCTAACACAATTTTTTCCTCTGCTGAACTTTCCATTAATCTGCTTGGGTTCTGCACTCGGAACTGCCAGTTCATTAATTATGACATTATTCTTCTATTGGATGGTGTCAGTGACTGGTTGATGGATGACTCTCAAATCAGCAGTCTTGCACATGTGTGTGTAGAGATACTGAAAATGTATTGAACTAAATGTTTGAAACACGATGTTGTGAAATGATTTACTTCCTTATATACTTTATTTAATTTTACTCGTTTTTTTTTTTTTTTTTACACCTCAATGTTTTAATTAGTATAAAATGCAGTTTTCAAATGATGACTTAATTTTTTGAGGGAAAAATCTGCCTAGTCTAACGTGGGCCCCAAACAAAATAACAATTTTTTTTACTTTTGAGGGATTTTCAGTGATAACTATCACAACATATAACAACATCTTAATCAGATTTACGTAAGGCATATGCCTATGCCACTCCAAAATCTGTCCCCACAAACACCAGATTTCATTTAAACGTTCTTGTTTTTTTAGGCTTAATCTTGTCTGTGTTTGGTCGGTCTGATTGTCCCATTTTAGTCCAATAAAAGACGTCGAAAAGACATTGCAAATCAACTATCTGAAACTTTTTTCACTTTTCAACCAAATATAGACGTTGTTTAGACGTAAATCATCTCTTTTCAACCTATTTTTGCTTGGTGGGATTATAAATATATATATTTTAAATTTATATGTATAAGAGCAGTTTTCCTTAAGATCATCGTCCAGCTGCATAATCCAGTAATGCCAGAGTTAACAGACTTATTTGTGATCTATTTTTAATATCTTTAGGTCCAGACAAGAATGATGATGATGATGATGATGATGAACAAATTTTTCTATTTAAAGGTTTTCTTGATTCTACATGGACTTTAGTTCCCAGTTGTTTATACTGTTTGTAGAGTTCAGTAATTTGTTTTAAAAATGATTCAGGCATGGTTTTAATCAGTGTTATACGGTATGTTAAACAATCAAATGATATTCCTGGAATTTATGTATTTACTTAGGTTCAAAAAATGTAAGCTTAACAAAAATATATATGTTTACGTTTTTGAAGATCTGAATTAAATATCTTTAAACAGCTTTTCAAATTCTCTTAATCCATCTGTTAGTACTGATAAATATCATTTTTTAGGGCCTTCTTACCTTGGAATCCTGGTGGGCACACTATGAGAGCCTGCTGGAAGGGGTCAGGCCGAGCGGCGCAGAGCTGCGGCGCACCGGGCTGCAGGGGCATGCTCCTTTGGGTCACAGCCGCCATGGACGCAGCAGAAGGCTGGTAGAGTGCAGATTGGTAGTTTAGTATGGAGACATCGGGACTTGCAAAGGAAAGGGTGGCATTGTTGGTGGAGGAGGGAGCCAGGTTGGTGGCCTAAAGGAATGGTGGGACCAAAATAAAAGTCATGAAGGTGGAGGTACTGATGGAGATGACAGGGAGGTGGTTTGGGAGATAATAAAAAAGAAATCCAAAGGAAGAATGTTGGGAGTGGGAGATGAATCTGAATAGTTTCAAAATATGCAAAGTGCTGATTTGGCTAATAAGATGAGGAAAGAAAAAAGAATGGAAATGTAATCAATGTCACAGTTGGATGAATAATAACTCATCGACGATGGGTTATATTACAGTGCATGCAAACATGCTGCTTTTATTTAAAGATGTAAGTCAAATGATTGTAAAAAGCAAGAATTTGTTGCACATATTGAAATTCTTCTCTTATGGAATTGGAAGAAAACAGAATAGAAAATATTTCATACATCCCCAAAGGGGCGAGCAAAAATATCAACATAAAATTAATCAAATAATGAAAACAAGGACCAAATTATTCACTCAGGATCAAAAACATGCATGCTCATCTTTCATAAAATCATGTTGCAGGGAAACTAAGGGCATTTGAGAAATCTACAAAATTCTTGGTTACTTCTGTCTCAATATCTGAACACTGCTTTTATCAGAAGTGGTAGGTTTTCTTTAAATAAGTTAAATATGCATTATTTTTAAGTTTGGGGATAAAGTTAAGATGTTTTTCGTTTTTTATCCATTTAAGATAAAAGCGAATTTTTCTAGACTGGATGTACATGTACAGCATGCCGGGCGTCATAAACCTGTTAGAGCATCCATTTGTGTCTACATTTCAATCATCCTACTCAAACCATCTTCAAATCAATTAACACATTCAAGAGAAACCAAGAAAAGAGCATGTGTGAAGCTGACACTGTAAGATACAGGAAAGGGAAGCCAATTTAACACCAGAATAAACTAAAGGTTAACATCCCTGAACCCTGACATGGTCAGCTGATTTGCCTCAGTCAAGGTGGGGGCAAAAACATGCTACCAGGGATACTTTTGCCCCCAAACTAGGTGACAAAAAACATTTGGATATTCAAGGGAATAAGGGGTGGTGGCCTAGTGGTTAGGGCATAAAGCTTGGAATCCTGAGGTTCAATTGTCCTAAAAGTAGATCTATTTGGGTTTTATAATAGATAAAGCTGGTTTATAATAAACATCTGAAATAGCTTCACCTCAACCCAATTTGAAATGTGTGTTCATGTCAGAAAACTACTGGATTTAAATAAACTTGACTAATTTTGACAGCAAAAAAGTGTCAAATATGAAGCCAGAATCATTCCAGATGGTTTCTGATTTGGAAGTTTGAAATTTTTTACAGCAAATAATTGGGTATAAACATCACTGAAGTTCCATATTGTTTTCTCAATCCACCTGGAAAAAAACATCTGTTGAAACAGGTCATCAGATGAATGCCAAAGTGGACAAAATATGCTAATAATATGTTTGTGTAAAAGTTTAATCCCCGTTTTATTCACAAACCTCAGGGAAGCAGAATTCCAACTTAAATGTGACCAGGATTTAAAAATGTAGCTTAAGGCTAAGTTATATTTATTCTGCACTTTAAACTGATACACAAGCAGTGTTAAATGGAATTGCACATTTTGTAGATCACATGCAGCATGTTTCCTACCCAGTTTCTAAATCATCCACGTCTGACAGGAAGTCTTTTTTATCCAAGTGATATTGCATAATTATCTAATTTTAGATAACTTCTTCACACCTTACGCATTAGTGTGGAGGAATAAGGTTAGGGTAAAAAAGAAAACATACGTGTTTATTTATTTTTAAGCTAAGATGTGCTACCAAGGGACATATGTTTGCATTAGGTGTGCATAAGAGCAGAATCATAATACATGGACTGTGCTTTCGCTTTTTGTTTACTCTCTTTAGTGAGAGGGATGAAAATTAGGAAGAGGAGTCATAATGGATATCTCTATGTGACATTAAAAACAGGCGGAAGCAGGAAAAAGAGAGAAATGATTTGAGATTAATAAATCGGTAACCATTCTAGTTAACTGCCCAGAGAGCCAGACGCAGAAAAGACAAGCAGGAGGAAATTCATTTAAATCAAAAGCAGGATGACTCCTTTTTTTCTTTTTCTTTTTTGGTTGCATGTAATTCCATGCAAGCTCATTCAAGCTGGCGGGGCCGAATCCTGTTTTCTGGTGCGGTGATAGATGGGAGTGAGTAGGATTTGTAACTATGCACAGTGTGGTAAACAGTGTAACAAGACACTCTCTGATTCCTGCACAAGCCAAAAGTCAGCAGTTTGGATTCACAGACTATGTGGAAACAAAGTGGTAAAGCACCACAGGCTCAAGCCAGAGAAACGGGAGGGAAGAAGAGGAGACAGCGGCGAGAGGAAGCCTGGTGAAGGGGCTCTTAAGGCCCTGAAAGCCCAAGGATGCTGGGCAAGCAGGAAGTGGGGCTTGTCATGTGTGTGATCAGCACTTTATCACAATCCCACAGGCCCTGAGCCACAGACACAAATTCTGGGGACAAAGATATCCATGCACCAAATCAGAAAGAGAGGCTATACTAGAAAAATGGCAAACAGGGGGAATAGATTAATAAAAACATAATGAGAGCAGAAAGAGCTCATTTCTGGCAGTAAAGTTAACAAACTTCTGACTAAACACATATACAGCTTGTTGCCTTTGATCTGATTTTGTTTTAAATAATTTTGAGTCGCATACAACCACAAACTGCAATGCATTTTATGTGACAGATCAACAAAGAACATGTTTTTACTTTCATAACCCTAAGTCCAACTGTGGGCAACTGACTCTCAGTGTAGGGGCTGAATATATACAGCTGGGCTGGAATGTTTACACACCCTTCCATTAAAGACAGAAAAAATCAGCTGGCAGTAAAAAAAAAAAATAAATTAACAAAAGAAATAATAATAATAAAAAAAAATGGAAATCATGATATAGATTTGGAATATACAGTATATATGTACACATTAATAAATAAATTACATTAGTAGTGTGAATTTATTATTTCCTTTAATGGTAGGGTCTGTAAACTTTCAAGCACAACCGTATGTACGACAAACTATTCCGATATCTTTCTTGGAATTTTTTTTTAAAAACTTGTTTTGCTTTCCTTTTGCTTCACAAATGTGAAATAACTCTAAGGCGGTAAAATATGGAGTGTAATATCGGGGAAAGATAAGATCTCTCACTTTTGTTTTTCCAAATCCTTTAAAATATGTTTTTTTTTCTCTGCGGATTCATTAAAAATAAATTTCAACTGACAGCCTTTTGGAGGGCGCTGTGCTAATGTAAGTAAAACCTTAAAGAGAGAAAAGACAACAAAAGGCAACCATTGAGCACATTTCTAACCATCGATCCGACTCCACAGAGACATAACTTTTCACTCTCACCTGACTGTGCACAGTGTTCAGCTGGTTGTTGAAGGTCATGGTGAGGTTGGTGGAGGTGCTGGGGGCCACATGGGTGATAAAGGGCGTTTTGCTCTGGTTGACTGTATCATACATGTTGACACGACGTTTGCAGATCTCCATGTTTTGGAAGCATGACTTTACACTGCAAAGACGGGAGATGGGAAAACAGTAGTAAACCAATGTGACTTAAACAGCAGAAGTGGTATCAAGAGACATAAAAGGGTCTTTGAAGCACATACTGTGTGCTGTGAGGGAAATCAAGGAGATGTGACATGGTAACGAAGGGGTGGTTAAGTGTTTCGATGGGGGTGATCCTCTTGTCAGCGTCAATGGTTAGCATCTTGGTCAACAGGTCGATGAACTCCCTCCGGTCAGCCTTTTCTGCCAGCATGTCGCTCCCCTCAAGATCCGATGTCATGTTTACCTTAAAACAGAAAGCAAACACACACTTTATTACCGAGGTTTATTTTATTTAGTCCTTTTAAACCAGGAAGTACAGGCTTTCAAGTTATAATGTACAAGCTTAACATTTACCGTTAGCATTCAAATAAACAAATAAAGCTTTAACATTAGCATTAAAATACAAAAATAGAAGAATAGTTGCAACAGACACATTTAGAAAAGGTTCAAACTCACCCACTGAGACAAAAGAGGAGCACAAATCAGATAAAGTCTTTTTATGTTGTTAAGAACCCACTCAAATGAGAATAATGTTTACCTAGCATAGTTAAAATCCAATGTAAACCAATGCTGTTTCCCCATTAAGCCTAATAATGACCAAGAGACCCAAGTATAAACTAAACAATGATGCATTCAGTACAAAAAAAAATACAATTAGTTAATAATACCTATAATACAGACAGAAAAGTGCTGAGGCATACAGATAAAAAAGCAAAATCAAGAATGAACAAAAGAGGTAAGAAAGGAAGCTGCTGCTAAATATCATCCACCTAAACACCTAAGTATTTGTAGGATTATATGATTGGTATTCTCAATAAGGTGTCAACCTGGGCTAAAAATGTCCAGCACTATTTCTGATGTGGAAACAATCTTAAAAAAACAATACTAGCCCACCTCAGAGAACAATCTGCTTAGTAAACTAAGGCATCATCTGCATAAAGGTGTACCTAAACTGTAGACACGTTCTTCCAAATGTTATCGTTAAATGCAGAAATCATTTGATGACCAGAATCAGCCAGTTTTAGAGATGTTGAGCCGGATCATCGATAATCTATTAAAACTAAATTAACATTGTTTAACCTGTCTTTTGATTATATCATTATACCATGTGGATGCTAAGGGGTCATGTCACAGAAACCACCTTTGGTTTGAAAGTTTTTGCTGAGGAATGGAAACTTAATCAGCTTTACTAAGTATGGGTAAGATGTTTAAATTGAACTCAGATTAATCAGAAAATACATCATAAGCTATAGAAAGGAAATGTCAGTTGGTCAATTAGGCTTTAAAAAGTGTGCATTGACACATAACAGGAAGTTTAATGGAGTAAGCAATGGCTACTCTGATTGTTCCTTTTAAAGGGTTACATTTTCTCCTGTCATGGAGCATTTATCAATTGGGAAACATTAATAATCTTTGTAAGACAACATTAAATACTCATAGGTACTAGTCTTAGCTAAAATAACTGCATTGACTATTTACTCCTATAATATAAGGTGCTAAAGACACTTAAGAAGCCTACTTTGTATAATTATGTTTCAGTTTAATAACCAAATAAATGTTTAACTGTAGATGTTTGTAACCCCAACTGTGGTCGAAATGCAAATAACGATGACAACAGAGTTACTTTCAGCTAAATTTAGTTAAATAACAGCTTTTTTTAATTAGATGTTGTTCTGTAGGATTTTTTGACTTCTGTAGGATTTGTTGTATAGCTTTGGGTGATAGTATCTTCTATAGAGGTCTGCCTTACACTGGATCTGGAGGCTTTGTCAGAAGACATTCAGTTGGTGTTTCACAGTGATCTGAAAAGGATGCTCACTGTTGTCCTTGATTTTATGGAGAATTCTTCTTGGTAAAATTAGCTCCAGGCTTTCTAGAGGAGTTTCCAGAAAAGAGGCAGCTTTCTTTATTAGTTAGTTAAATTTCTCAAAGCCATTTGCTCTGATTCTGCTATCCCAACAGATGATGGCTGAAGAGGTGGCACTCCCCACAGATGTATAGAAGCTATTATGCATCTTGCTGAAAAAGCAGAATGACCTTAACTCAGCTCAAAAATTTAATTCTGCTCTATCTTCTCATAAATACCTTTATATTTGTGTCTCTCATGGAGTCTGTTAAACATGTAAAGACTGAGGTATTTATCCTCCTCCACTACCTCAGCTTTTCCTTCCATGATGGTAATAGCATTTTGACATTTTCCTGTTTGTTCTAAAATCTACAGTACTATCCTCTCCCTTGTTTTTTTAACATTTAGGATCAGATGACTGTCACCATGTCACAAAACACTTCACCAACTCCCTGTACAACAACTTCAGAGTCATCTGAGTATTTTGCTGATCACAGGATTCTACCTCGTACAGAAAGTTGGAGGTGCGCAGACTACAAAGGAATATTAAGAATACGGTCCCCTGTAGCATGCCTGATTACCTAAAGCTAAGTTAAGGGAATTTTCCTTTTACCTAAAAGAGTTTGAAGCAGATTTTACTCATTTCAAATAGATAAAAAAGGCTGAATATCTTGTGATCTTCGACATTACATTTTTACCCAAGCAAAAAAGAACTTGAATCTGTTTTACTAAGGTGTAATGGAGATATCCTTTCAGTTTATTAATGAAGATGGTTTAATATTTAAGTACTGTAGGCTAAAACATTTTTTTTTTTACCATCAATAACTCTTGATGTCAGTTCTAAAATCAGTATCTGGAGGTCAGCATTTTATAAAATCTGTAAACATAAATTGGCCTCAAAATATCTATTATCTCTAGATTCATACATTTCCTAAATGCATGATTCATGATATCAGAAAGATCTCGACCACATAATTTCCCCTAGAAGGAGTCTAATAATAAACAGAAGGTCTCATAAATTAAGGGGTCTCAGAGCTGAGCGATAACCTTGTACTTCAGTGGGATTATAAACATTTGCACTGATATTCATAGCAGCAGATGAAAAAAAATGTCCTGAAACCTCCAATGAGAATATTATCTCCTCCAAAGATGTAAAAACAAACAAAAAGGAGGAACTCGATAAACACAGCCACTGGCTGTCAGTAAAAAGGCTTTCCACACAGGACATCAGTTTGTGAGCAGCTCTGAAAAAGCTGACACGGCATCTTAATGTAAATTTGTTCTGAGGAAATTCTGGGAAGCTGTCTTGAAACATCAAGCTGCTTCAGCTGTAATAAACACTGTGGCCCAGGCAGTGGTTAAATACTTGGCAAGGCAACCCATTTCTGCTTTAACCAAGACACATAAGCAAAGATTGATTTGGTATTTAAGGCACTAATTCTGATTCTGAAGGCTTTTTTTTAGTGTTGTCGTGTCTGGTGTGGTATGAAGAAAAGGGGACCAAGGTCACGATGCAGCAACTCGGGCGGCCAGGGAGCGAGCAGGCTGTCAGGCAGAGCGAGGACCAGGACTGTGGCAACAGACAGGCAGCCTTGTTTATTGTGACTGCTCTGCCGGTGGAAGCAGCCTTGTTTTTCATAAAGACGCAGCGCTTATCTGTGAGCCTGCTCCAGGGTCTATCAGATGTGCTGCCAGTCAACACGGCAAATCTGATTCAAGCTCCTATCTTCATGCAAGCTATTGAGCTTTAGCACCCATACTTCTTTGTTTGCCTTCTTCCCTAGCTTTGATAGAGAAATAATCTGTGGAATGAGGTAAGAAATAATCATAATGTATTCTACAGGGAAATGACTTCGGGGAAGTGTGCAAATATACGTCTAAAAAAATAATAAATGAATAGAGATTAGTAAAGAAAAAATCTTATATGCTGATTTTTTTTTAAAACAGAAAAGCTAGACATTTCACATCTTAAAAAAAAAACAATCAAAGCACTCAAAACAAGATAAAGTATACTTCAGATAAATCCATCATCTGAACACAGAGAGAGAAAGAAGCAAATGCAAACCAATCAAAACATGGATGTCCACCAGATGCAAACACAAGTGCAACGGGAGAGGAACATCTGAAATAAGGTTCTTAAGTCAGGCTGAAACTCAACATTTAGGCTATGAATCCTACTATTAATCCACGATGGATGAAATAAAATATGGTGGTGGCAGCATCATGGTGTGGTGACAGTTTTCTCTGGCTAACCTATGACAGCTTTTCAAACACCCCACTACAGCTCTAAGAATCTGTTGACAGAACAACCGTGTCTCCACCAATCTGGTCTTTATTGACGGAAAAAAGCTTTAGTGTGGAGAAATTACACAGATTTGGAAGAAATCTTGAATCCTTTATCCCCATGGTGAAACATAGATAGTATCATTATGTGACAAACGTTGCTCCAGTAGGAAATAATAGATGGAGCTAAATGCTGGACAATCTGGGAGGAAAACCTGTTCAAGTTTGTAAGAGACCTCTAAAGATACATCCAGAGATATAAAAGAATGGCTCAGTCAAAGTCCAGACCTAAATCCAATTGAAGATCTATGGCAATACTTAAAAATAGATTTTCTCCTTTAGTAAAGCAGATTTGCAGCCAGGCAAAGCTGACGCAGACATAATCATAACGACCCACTGAAGCATAAACCATGGATCAGTTTCCTTCCACTAGACAAACAGCACCTCATTTGTGTTGATCTATCAAATAAGATCCCAATAAAATAAATTAAAGTTGAATACTTGTGTAAGGCGGAGACCATGAGGCTCCTCCTGTCATGCCTTCAGTCTTATCACTAAAATTATTGATGGAATGCATATCACAGTGGATGTTTACGAGCATTTCCAGCTTTCCTTCACTCTTCACCAGACACCTCGAGCAATCCTGCATTTACTGTAAGCTGGTGTCTTATTTCCCTTCAATTAGATCTACTCGTGACTGAAGCCTCCACACATTTACCACGACTAAAAGGAGGTTCATTATCTCTTCCTGGCACCTCGCCCCTCAGCCTTGGAGGGCCTTCAGCTATATCATCCATTATACACAGAGGCACAGATGTCCACAATGCTGACTTGTTTATGTGGTCAGGGTAGGGAGACGCGGTAAAACAGGCCCTGTTTCTTCCAAATTAAGCCTGTGCAGCTATGCATTATACCTCATCTATGTTTTTTTTTTGTAGAAACCCGAGCCGTATTGCAAAAAAGAAAGACAAGATGCAGAACTAGAAGCACAAACGACATAGATGACCCTGGGGATATCATGCCTGCACAGGTTGGCTTCATTAAACCGTTTGCCTGGTGTGTGTATGAGCACATTAAATTCAACAATTCCAGGAAGTGATACCATCTTGTCCCAGTTGACCACATGTTACTCCAGACTGGTCTGACAGTGGCCCTGGGCACTGTCGAGCCATCGTAATTGTCTCCATCATTTAAGCAGCAACATGTGTTGGGTATTCGTATGGATGGTTTTCCAGGGGCCGTTGTTTGGCTGTAATCAAGATGAACATCCACCAGTAGAGGAAATTCACTTGGCCAAACCTTTTCTTGGCATGCGGTTATCAGCAGCTCAATCACAGAGCGTGGTGATGACATTTTAGGAGAGCTGGGATAAAAAAGGTATTTCAGTCACCACTGAAACCAAAATCTCCTAGTAAAATCAGGCAAAGGGGGATTTATATACAATGTTGAACGACACTCAGGTCCTGAGCCAGCATGGTAGCGTGATGGTAAAATCCCCCTAATCCTACAAATCTGAGAGATCTTTATACATCAAAAATTTAAAACACTCGAGTTTTTTTCCTTCTCCACACCATCTAAAGGCACATCAGAGCTTTTACTGACCTTTACAGGGCAGCTTTTCAATAAAAAGCATAAAACGGCAATAAAAAGATGTGCATAACGAATTATATTCAGTTAAAAAAACATCTAAAAAGACCTGACTAAATAACTAGGCAGCACTTGAGAGATCATCATCTTAGACTCTACGTTACGTCGTTCCCTCTCCTTTAATTCCTATGGAACTAGTACGATGAGGCAATAAATGCTTCTCTCCTCGAACCAAGCAACCGGTGAAATGTCGAGCTTATGCACATTAATATGCAAACACAGGCTTTTGACGCAACACAACTCCTGTCACCGTCACGTAGCACTACAGCCAATCAGTGATGGTTTCATTAACTGAACTGTTAGAGCTAGCTAAAAGCTGCAGTCTGTACCTGCCTTGACGTTGGGGGATGAACCTGTTTTTCTTGTGTCCAACTTTCCTATACTGTATGATTTCAGTCAGTTCTAACAAGAATCATCTGACTCTTCATCCTTGATGCTGTGTCCATCACTGAACACTTAAAAAATGTTAAAGTCTCCCCAGTTTAATAGCAAACCATATTTCTTGGAGACGAGCAACCCAGAGCGCAATTCATCCGGTATGCTGGGTTTCATGGTAGTGGCAATGACATCAGTTTGTTAGTGTTATTTGTCGCTGCCCAAGCGTCAAACCAATTGCAGCTGTAATCTTGGCTATTTTATGGTATGTTATGGGCCACGGGTCATAATTGGCCATTCAGAGGCCATCGGTTGGTCTGCATTAGAATATGAATATTAGCACAGTGTTAAATTTAGGTGAATGTGCTGATGTTACTCCGATCTTCATTTTCTATTTTCAAATACATCTTTTGCTAAAACTGTTAGCATTCCTACCTGCTTAGATGTTCATACACTTTTTCAACTCAATACAGCATTGTTGTTCTGCAAGCCTGTCTTTGTGTTCTCCATTCCCTCAAGGTAAAACCTTTTAAAGATCTTTAATTGCATGTTTTCTTTAGAGAAGACAGCACATTTAACATTTTTTACCAAACTCACAGCAACTCCATACCTATGGACTTTGCTTTGTGCATTGGACCAAATGTTTTATAAGTTGGAATTGTACACAGCCTTGCCCAAACTGTTTCAACACAACTTGGACCAAATTATTGTCCAAAATGTCTTGGTTTGCTGCAGCATCAAGACTGTCTTTTACTGAAACTAAGGGACTGAGCTCAACTCTGCAAATTTAAAAGTCCAACAGCATAATACTCCCTCCACCAAACTACATACTTGCTCAATGCAGTGAGGCAAGTGTCTTTCTCCTGGGAACCAAGGGGCCTGATTTATCACCCCAGAAAACACTACTCCACTGTGCTTTTGTCCAGAGACCGCCTTGGATCTGAAAGTGTTCTCTTGCACCTGTGGTCGGTAGCACTAGTAGCATCCCATGATGGTATCATGCATGAATTAATGAGCTCTAAAAACGACCCATAATTTTATGAATGTTGGTGAATCAGTCACATGTGATCAAGACAGCGACTAGAGCTACTGAACTCAATGATTTGGATGGCTGACCCTGTACTTCTGGAAAGAAATTACATATTTTAAAATACTTCTGTGCATCACACTGTCTGTACTTCACAGTAATATATAAACCCATCAGCCAGATGGTGTAAAGTCCTGCAAAAACACAGGCCCTGCTATTAAAAACTAACAGAAAATGTACAGGCTTGCCCCTCATGTGCAAAATGTCTCTGAAAAACCTTAGATTTAGGACATCTACAGCATTTAGTAGCCTCTCCCATTACATGCTTACATGAAATACAGCTGGGATGGGACCCAGCCACAGCCCTGCACCCAGCTGCATGAATAAGGAAACATGCTGTACGAATCAGGCCTGGTAACCAGTCGCAGTACATTTAGTTTCAATGTCTGTTACTTATTAGGCAGTCGTAGAGCAAAACGAAGAGCTGAGCGGAGCTTCCAACAAACAGCTGCCTTCATATAGCTCTGTAAAAATCCAAGCCTAAGCTTAAGTCTGCTGCAACTAGTGATCAGACCTCAGCCGCTTAGTTGAAGTGATTTCACATAATGGGTGTAAAATTCTCAGGACAAAATGGATCAAACTAACTTTGGACCAAAACCTCCTTCTTCAATAAGCATCAACATCAGCGGCAGAGCAAGAGAAAACCAATACTTCTCTGGTTCGACTTGTTGAGTAGAGAAGATTCCTGCTCTGATATGCAGACAGCATACCTGTGCCATGTCATCCAAGCAGTTGAAGATATACTTGCGAGCCTCCTTGGACTTGATCCCCGTCTCAACCTCATGGTCTTCCGGAGTCTGCAAGAGACAAGCAGTAGATGTTTGGTGAAACTATTGTCAAACCTCTCCCTCTGGAAATCTACCATTTATATTTGGTTCATTATAGTATTTTGTTGTTGATGTGCATAAGACCTCATCAAACAGCTAAGCCAGAGGGTTTGGACTGCTTACTATGTCACACTGTATATCATGCTAATGCTACAACAATATGCAGTCTACACAGCAGATTTACATCAGTGCACCTGGATAGACACAAACCAGACAGGTATAAACATTCAATCAATACAACGGATGCAGATTTACACTCTGCGTCTTTGTGCTGACCAGACTGCAGAAACCTCCTGACTTAACACAAAGTATCTTATTATCTAATTAGTCAGCAATGTAAAACAGCTGGTGTTTGGTGGAAACACATGGCTAGGGTGAGTTAAAGCTGCGCCGTCACTCATCAAAGACTGAAAAAAGTTTCAAGGACACCCTGATTTCACACAAACCAGATGTAAGACAGCCTTGATGAGTTACAGCGCTACGGTGTCAGGAGGAAGTTACACAAATCCATCTCTGTTCAGCTACATTCCAAACAATGAAGACGATTACTTTAAATAGGAGGCATTCTTCCTGATGTTCACCATAAAGCATTGCTTGTTTCGAAATGTTGCAAATATGGCAAAGAAAGGAGAAAGAAACAAGTAAAAAGTGCAACAAAAAGGCACGAAACATCCATCTGAGTTTAAAGCATTGTGTTTCACACTGACTTTTTTGCAGGTCTCAATTGAGCCATTTCAACTATTTTTAATAAAAAAAGTATCCCTCCTGCATGATCCTGCCACCACTAGAGATCAACCAATACAGGTATTTTAATGCTGAGGTTGATACTGATTATTTCATCATAAGTCTAACCCAGGTATCCCTAAAGTCGGTCCTTGAGGGCCGCTGTCCTGCAGGTTTTAGAGGTTTCCCTGCTCCAGCACAGCTGATTTACATTGATAGTTGATTAACAGGCTTTTGATGAACTGCAATCATCAGAATCAGCGGTGCTAAAGCAGAGAAACCTCTAAAACCTGCAGGACAGCGGCCTTTGAGGGCCGACTTTGGTGATGTCTGGTCTAACCCAATGTCAAACTTATGTCCCATATGGCCACTATCCTGCAACCTTCAGGTATCTCCCTGGTCCAGCACATCAGAGTCAAATGGCTTAAGTACCCGGGTCGACCACGTTGAGGACTAAGGCCTCCCCATATTGGTTGTGCGAACTTATAACTGTGCCACCGAAGCACGCCCGTTCTGATGATTTTTTTTAACCAAAATTGCTTTCTTTTCCTCGATTTAAATGGTTAAAAAAAGAAGGGTTTTTCTCTGATTAAATATTTAATCAAGCTCAGGATACATATATTTTTTGCTTTAATCTTCACTACTTCCTCCCATAAGCTCTTTGCACCACACAGGAGGCGGAGCTTACTCTGAGCTGGAGCTAGAGCCAGAGCTTAAAACGGACGCTTTCAATAAACCGGTTCAGTTTTAGATACAAGGAGCCTCATCACTGTGTCGATATGTGCATCAGAAATTTATTCAAACGCAGACTGAAGTCCACCGGATATAAAAGCAGGAGAAGGCAACCATGAGGCACACAAAGCAACCAAGATGGAAGAAGTTCTAGCAGAAGAGATGCTACAGCTTGATCTATAAGCACTTACGATTACACAGAGACAAAAATTGTCACTGTTGCAACTATTCAGCATCTGGCAATGTTGGTGCACACACTTGCAGAGGGGAGCTTCTCATGTGGAGGCTGTAAACTCCATCCCTTCCACCTGACTCACTCGGCGCTAGGCAAGCTGTCGTTTGGCCAAACAAAAAGGGGCTGAAGCTTTCAGCGATGGAAAGTGAAAAATCCAGAGCCTGGTTAGCTCCAGGGCCCAGATAGCTCCAGCACCCTCCTACATTTTGGCGGTATCTTTTGGTCTTAATGATGCGGTTTGTTTTCCAGTGTTCTCTGAAGTAAGAACAGCTTAATTTGTACTCAGATTACATTGCACACATCTGCACTATATTTAGACACTGCCTGTCTTGAAGAGCAGGCTGGTTGGGCTGGATTTTATTTAGGAGTAATAAAAAGGAAGGATTTTTTTAAAATCCAAAACTAAAGTTTATTCCAAAAATAAAAATCCTCTCACCCAGATATACTCTAGTGTGGTGTGCTCCATTAAAAAAATCACAATAAAGTATAATCAGGTTTGTAGCTGTAAGGCGACACAATGTGAACACATTAAAGGGGAACACATATACATTTGAAAGACACGGCATGCTTTTCTCACTAAAAGACCATATACTCTACATTATTCTTATTGTCAGCAGTGGTATGTTTCCAGGATCCATAGAAGCACATGCTCCAAACAGCACATTATAAAAAGCTCATTATGTGCTGCTGTGAAGGATCAGTATCTATTGCTCTTTTTAGTCACAAACTCAATGTGCAAATTTTATCTGCATGGAGGACAAGTTCAGATGAAGCAAACCATTTTATTGAGTGGCCTAAATGGAGCTTATAGTAGAGTGGAGGTTAGAGCACCCTCTTAGCTCCCACATAGATCTGTTTTACCCTTATTACACTCTCAAAATACAACTAAAGAATAAGCTAAATGCCTTACACGTATGGCAGAAACAGCAAAAATATATAAACAAATTCATAAATACATCAAAGCTTTTTTGATAGTTATATTACAGATGTTGTTTGGAACAAATTTCAAAAATGTCTGGTCATTTTCTACCTATCATCCACTTTTACTGCTATATATTAGTCTGATATTGATTTTTTTATGCAATATTTGTATGCATTTTATTTTTATTTTCAAGTATATCCATCAATATAATCAACAGCAATATAAGTCATAGGTAAATTCAAAGTCACACCCCCACCATGTCACATGTTGTTTGTGTACCTTCAGTCTCCAAAGAGGGTAGGTGGAGTCTGGATCTCTGTTGAAGAAGCGGGTGGTCTTTGTCCCTGCACTTAAAAGATATTCTGCAGGAAGACCCTGCGTCTGCGAGATGTACCGGATCTGCAAAACAGAAATGCAAACATTTTTAATTTAACAATTTAAATTTAACTTTGAACAGCAAAAAAAAAAAAAGTTAAAGACGCTTTTTTGGTGGTTAAAAGTGTAATTTCTGTCATGGATGATGGTGAAGACTCTTGAAGAGGTATAAAATGTGATGATATATGCAACATTATCTGACAATCCCACAAGCCATTAAGAGATGGGGGCAGGAGAGAGCAACATGCATCACAGGATTTGTGCTAATTAGACAGTAGGCTCTGCTGCATCTGTTCCTTTAGACAGAAAAACTCAACGACAATCATCGCAGGTTATATGATGAATGTCATAAAGAACCAGAAAAAGCGTATAAACAAGGTTTTATTGCAAAGTGAATGAATAACATCATCATAATCTTCATTATACGGCGTTACCTGATCGTACTCTGAGGCTCCAGGGTACAGGGGCCATCCCAGAAACAGCTCAGCTATTACACAACCCAGTGACCACATGTCGATGGCCTCACAAAACGGAAGGCCGAGGATGATCTCTGGAGCCCTGCAGACACAAGAACACAGACATGAATTAGAGACCTTATGGCTTTATTTTAAACTCTGTGAATTATTCTCATTTGATTTAACTGACTTCCATCCAAACAAACATTTTTGACACTAAGGCACCTTTACATTATAACATTGTCAATAACCCACAGTCAATACTGTTTAATGCAGAGGGAAGCTGTAGTGATGTGGTAAAGTAATGTTTCCAAAGCAATCTTGTGCTGATTAGAAAATCCACATATCTGGAGATGGAGAAGAGTTTGAAACATAAAAATTAGTCAAACTGCAACGTCAGAAGTTTGTTTGGATTTTCCTAATGCTTATTTTTTTACTAAAACCTTGAAAGCTCAACAGAGTTGTTAGCAGGATGTGCCTTGCTAGACACAGATCATTTATAATCTAATAGCTTAAATAAATCTTTTTTATTTGTTTTGGACAAACACTGCTCCTTAGATGTGCTCAGATACAGCAGTAAAAAGGCATACGATACCGAGCTCGAAAATACTTCCCTTCATTCTAATTATATATCTTAAAACTTTTATATAAGACAGAAGGAAGGTTGCTTTGCACTGCCTGTCAACTGGCTGAAAGAAGGCTGCTGGACCTTTCTGACACATGGCATCAAGATAACAATAACCCAACAACCTAAAATGAGCATGTGAAAACTAAAGGAGTGCAACCAATCCGTTTTATTCAAAACTGTTTTAAAACTGCGGTTATCAAGCAGAGAGAGAGACTGATTGATGTTAAAGCCCGATAGAGTTCTTTAAAAAGTCATAAAACTCAAAATATTCATCATAAAACTGCCTTTAAATGTCCTAGGATTGGCTGTGTGCAGTATTTTAATCTGAGTATTGTTTACACCCAAGAGGTTTAAATGAAATAAATTAACAAATTGAATCATAAAGACCAGAAAAAAAAGGCTTGAGGCAGCATGACATTTTCTTCTTGGAAAGGAATGGGATACGGAGTCTATTTCTGAACTAGGGCTGAAACAATTAATTGTGATTAATCGATTATTTAAATAATCATCAACTAATTTATTTATCTTTAATCGTTAACTGGAGTATAGAGACTGTAAATCATGCCTTTAACTGATAGAGCTACCCACTTAAAGCAGTAATTATGTCAAAATAAAAAGAAAATATAAACATTCTGCCTTTAAGATTAAAACAATTTTTTTCATCTGTCAATATGCTCTATCCAGAACTCCTCAAGTGGAAAAGTTTTAGTTTCACCTGGTTCAGTTTCATAAAAGGATCCTCAAGGAACCTTATCCGATTACTCTGAACCTATGCAAAAAATGCAAAATGCTGGAGACTGAAAACAACAACTTGTTTGAGAAACAACAGAGTGGTTTAGCTCAAGAACACATCTATGGGTTAGAATGGCCTACACAAAGTCAATATCGACAGCAAATACAAAATAGTTTCCATCCCAATAGACTAAACTTTGTTTTTTTTTATGGTTCTAGAAACAACAGACTCAAGAGGGCTGGATACAAATGTACACCACACTTTTAAGATTTCAAAAAAAAAATAATAATAAATTAAAACAAAACAATTAAGAGCTAATTTGTGTCACTCTAGAAAGAACAAAGTATTGTTTTGTGTCATTTGTAGGGTATTTTTTTCATTATTTATTAGGCATCAGAATTAGCACAAGAAAAAATAGATAGATGAAATAATGAGAAATTGTCATTGCTCTTTTGTTTGGAACTAAGATTATTCAGATTGTTTGTCTTCACCAAAGATTTATTGTCTCATATATCTTAGCAGTTCTTTATTTTGGTCTCCACACTATCTGTCTTGTCAGAAGGATGAATACGCTTACATCTTCAATGATGCCTAAAATAACCAGGAGCAACGTGATTCCTCACACAAAAGTACTTTTAAGAGATTCTCAGCCTGTCATCGCCATAGGAGGGACACTCTTAGTCTCACACTTTCTTCCTCTAGGTAAGATGTAGTCTCTTGGCTCCAAAGAAATCTAATCTAGGCTGAATCAACTAAAATCCCTGTTCATTCATCTGTAATATATATTAACAGCAGGACACACGGTTCAAAGGAGCTCAAGACGGATCTTGGAAAGTTTCAAGTTCACAATCCTGATTGCCGTGACCATGGTAACCGGCCCCCCAACTTCTTAGGACACTGCTGGGTTTTGGTCATGGAAAAGAGCATGGCGGGGGCATTCGCCATGGGACTTTACAGAGATGCGAAAGGGTTGGAGGTAATTGAATAAAAAAAACACTGTAAAGACTTAAAAGAACATTTCCAACAGCAGCCCTTTCTGCCCCCTTTTCATTGCCCAGCAGTGATGGAGAAATAACGACTGGACACATTTTATGGCACCTTATATGTGGCTGAAACATTGAGGCAGAAGACATTACAAGGACAGGTGATTATGAACTGTAAAAAAACAGGAAGGGCCAGGATATTATGGTCGAGAGAGGCAGAGGCAAAAAGAAATGCCTTACAAACTAAAGAGCTCCTGACACAGAAGGTGGTTATTGGGGTCTAAAGGGCAGCAATGGAACAAACACCAAAGACGACACTCTGGCAACAGTTTCTCAGGGCACCATTACACACCAATACAGAGTAAACATCATACACAATGAGCTGGAACATCAGTCAAAAGGTTCCCAAAGAAGCAGAAGGTGGACTGCCTGGCAGTGATGAGACAAGAAAGAGCAAGATCTGCCAAAGGTAGGGAGGGAAAAAGATGGAGTGAAGGAGACGGGCTGGAGTTTCACTTCATGTATACATGCAAAAGCTGCGTATACGAGAAAATCTAGAATATAAATCTTTAAATCTGTTCCAGTCTGCATTTTTTTTTTTTATATCAGGAAAAAATCCATTGTAAACCCGTCCATGAATCCATGTGCAGTTTTTTGGGTGATTTCATTCATAGATATGTTCATCATTGAGCTTTACATGGCAGCGTGATGTCATTAAAACACCATTGATAAATAAAGCAATATTTTCATTATAATCAATACTTTTCAGCATAAACCTTGTCCATCACTAGAGGTATCGGCTTTTTTTTCTGTCTTAAAATAATATCTAAACAAATATTGCACCCAACCAATCTGATAGTAAAGTATTAACAAAACTAATTACAACTATGCAGCATGCCATACACCTGAAAAACACAGACAGCATTAATGAAAGCAAAGTAGGGATATTTAACCAATGTAGGACTCTATGTTTGACCAAAGATGGCTTTTGACCATTTTTATCTGTCACTAAATGCACAGAGAACTGACACGAGAGATCTGCCTGCAGCAGCTAATGCTAAGCAAGTAAACATTTAACCATTCTGTTTTGACTGGTTAAAGTTTGTTGGAGTTCTTGTACTATCACCATTAGCTGTTTGGTCTCCTCAGCAGGGCAGCTGAAATTATTATATCTAGCTTAAGCCAGAAGCAATTTAATGGAGGTTCTGGTCATTTAGTACCTTACTAATTTTGGATGGTTCTCAGCTGATTTCTTTCAGGCATAAAATAAAGCCACTTTCAGTAAGGGCTTTTGTATGAACTATTTATGTTTTTAGATGGTCCAAGGCATCATTTATTAAAGGGAGATTTTCTCTTTTACTTAAAAGCACCATATCCCTTCCCAACGCTGCAGCAATACAAGCAATCTTCTTTGGACAAAATCATTTGCATATCTTAAACGAATTTGGACAAAACTAAGATTTCTTTCATTACAATAATGGATATGAGTATGATAATAGTAATGATCTTCATGCGTATGTTGGTATAAACCTACAAACATTACAATGAAAAATAAGACATAAGGTTCTTTTTCACTGTCTGCTCTTTCAGTGCTATTTGTTATCAATCCTAAGGCTTTTAAGGGAGAATAAGATCAAAAGGAGACCAACAACTCAATATGCAATATGCTGAGAGTATAAAGATGTTCTTGCATGCTGTACCTGACGAAGTTAACCAGTCTTTTGAGGCAAAAAATACAAAATTCCTGCCAAGTCCCTGATTTGCAGGGGTAGGAAGTTCCTAAAACCTATCCGATTTTTATTACTCATGCTTAAAAAAACTGATCTGATCAAATTATGCCAACATAAATGCTTCAGTGAAAAAGAGAAATCCCATTTTATGAGTAAATCAGATTATTTTGATAAAAAGCTGAAGTCCAGACAAACCTCAATGTAAGTCTTTTCTTACGAATTTTATAAACGCATTTTTAGGTGATGCTGTTTGAACGATCAAATGAGACAGATGATCTTCAAAACAATAAAGGTGATATTTCAATTTCTCACAGATCTTTAAACTGAATCTCTTGCTGCTGCCTGTGGTGACTTTTTTTGTTGTTAATGCTTGGATCAATAGCAGCCTGCAGCATCTTTGATTTTACACCGGTTTTGTGGTTAAAGGTGGTTTTAATGCCCCTCTTTCTACAGAAACCTTCTCTAAACTAGCAAAACAAAAACAGAGAGGAAGCAAGGTAGAGGGAGTAACCTTGTTGTGCATGATATGAAACCACAAATGCAAACTTAACCCTACCAATGCACCTCTGCCATTGCCTGCAGAGCTTATTGAAGCTGCAGCTAATGCAGGCCTATCACCAGCTTGGATAAGCAATGAAGTGATAAGTGCACACATCTGCTAAGCTTAGAAAAACACTACTACTAATAACCCCTAACCCTAGTACCTTTCTGTTCTCCCCTTGCATTCTGAAAGAAAAGCACACACTGCATAACCTTTTATGCATTTGGGATTGTTTGTGTTGATAAATGCATGCCAAAGGCAGATTAGCTTTTGGAGTTAATTGAATATTTTGTTTTGGAGATACAATTAGGTTTTTAGCTCACAGAAAACATTGGCTTGTGAATGGCTTCTATGTTCTGATGGAGAAAAGAACTAAAAATCAAATCCTACTAATATTGGCTATTTTGTGATAATCTATTCAATTAATTTCAAAACAATTGTGCTTTAACGTTCACTTTGTCCCAGTTTGCCCCTATTCAGCAATGCAA